GATGTTCTGGACTGTATATTATAGTGAAATTTTAGACCTAGTGGACTCCTCGCCTCAGATCTTCCTGTAGACAGTAAGCCTTATGTTGACAAGTCGATGGGCTTACGGCATTTCTCTACCAAAGTGTGTGAGAAAGTTAAGGAGAAAGGTCGCACCAATTACAATCAGGTCAGCACTTTCTTTTCGAGTACTGGATTTGGTTGTTAGTGTCTTTAGTTTGATTAGGATGTTGACGTTACTCGCCCATTTTCACTGCTAACCTAGTTTGATGGGTTCCTACTTCTCTAGGTTGCGGACGAACTCGTGGCAGAATATTTCGCAGCGAACAATATGAATTCTGAGGAGTTTTTGGTTAGTTTCTAGTTTGAATCGGCACCATTGAACTATTGCTACCCCAAAATCTCAGAAAAAATTCGCTGGAACTTTCCCATAATGGTGGTTCGGTCGCTGAAACTTTCCCATAACGGTGATTCGGTGCCCTCAGCACGAATATCACGATCGCTTTTCGCCGCTGGCACCAATTGTTTCCACCACCTTTCCCACTGGTATCGATCAAAACTTGTACAGTTGTAATCTTTTCGACTGACAGAGCGAGGGCATGGCTTGGAGCGTAGCCAGGACAGATTTTTCACCGTTTGTAGCGGCTCAGTATGGCATCATCAACAAGGGCGCCCACGCGCACCGCGTCACACGCCCTATCGCCCTATTGCAGGTCATGACTGTGTACGGGGATTATTTGACTTATTCACATACTGACCAAGAATATAATATCTGTCCTAAGCCGTCGCCATGTGGCACCAAGTGGCGCTGATTTGGCGCCACAGCCGTTTCCGCCAAAGTCGGTATAAACCTGCACACTATCGTTATTCGGTGTCCGGGTTACAGATAAACATTTCATTCTTGGTGCCGGAGCCGATGTACGGCGCTCTGCTTAGGCTGAGCCTGACGAAGAGGAGATCTTAACTTCTCCCAGCCTCGGCCTTACAAGGGAAGGATGGTAGGTCGAAGTGGCCATTTGAAATGAAGATGTATACCGGCTGAAGGTCTTTGGACGGGGATTACGAAACCGTCTTCCATATCTGCTGCGGACCTCCAGAACAAAGTTACGGGCCTTTTTAGGGGGAGCACAGTGGCATTCAATACGAATTAGCGGCGTAAGGCTGCACGGCTCGAAGCAGCGTGGCCGAGTGGATACTTTGTAGGTCTCGCGGTCACATTGTTGAGGGTTTGGATCCTTTCTGCGTTTTCTGTTTTGCATTTTTCAGATATGGAAGACGGTTTCGTAATTCCCGTCCGAAGACCTTTCAGCCGGTATACATTTCATTTCAAATGGCCACTTCGACCTACCATCCTTCCCTTGTTAGCAGAGCGCTGAATGGTGTTGGTGTCCGAAAATGAGTGCCATATTCGTGACCAGGTCATCGAAGTGGCGCCCACTTGGCGCCTAATGGTATGAAATGGCGCCAGACGAGTGTGATATTTGTAGTCAAGATACCGAATTATCCTCAGGGCAAATCTTCACAAAAACAATTGTGCGTTAGGGGTAGCAATAGTTCAAGAGTGTCTTTGATTGCTATATTCCACCATTTACCCCACGCATTAACAGGAGAGACAAAAATTCGATCAGAAGAACATTCGACGTCGGGTCTATGATGCCCTCAATGTGCTGCTAGCTATGAACATTATCTGTAAGAGGAAAAAGGTTTGGCTTAGTGTACGCTCAGCTGACCATCAGCAGTCCATCAGGATATTATTCACTTCAGGATATTGATTGGGTTGGCTTACCAGCCACCAAAGCGGGAGAAATCAAACGTCTCGAAGAAGAAAAGGTGGTGGTTTTCTTTGGTTTATATGCTTATCTACTGTATTCCTTCCATTTTTAGGCAAAACTCACAGAAAGTATCCGCCGGAAGAAGGAAACTATTCAAGAGCTCATAGTACAGCTTGTCGCTTACAAGAGCTTAGTTTGGAAAAATCGTGAGATGGAGAGGTAAAAGTTCTTTGGCTGGAGCGTGGGGACAAATTGACTGGGGGAGGGGGAGTTCGAAACTTTTGCTGCTTCCTATAGTCGTGTTCAGCCATCAAGTAGAGATTTGTGAAATCTTTGGAAGCTACATAATGCTACCAGTCGAAGTTTGTAAAAACTACTTATCAAGTCTTGTGAATAATACCTGTCCAAGTCTTGTAGAGCAATGAACCCGATAACGGGAAGCAGCGAAAGTGCAAAATGCCCCCACCTAGTCGATATGCGCGGAAAGTTGAATCATGGATTTTTAACTCCATATCTTCTCATATCACATCAAAGTAACATTCTGAAATGACTTTTTCAGAGTGTCCGCTAGGCCGCCAGAAAATACAATTCTCTATCTTCCTTTTGTCATTATCAACACTTCGAAGAAGTAAGTTTTCCGATAAGCCAGGATTTAGCTATGACATCAGTCATCTTTTCTTTCTCCATCAAAAACCTTTTACATGGTGCTTCGGTGAGCACGTTTGATGCAACTTTAGCTACTATAGCTACTATAAGGTTAGAAAAAAAGTTATGATACATATGAGGCAAAACCTTTATTCAGTCACAACATTAAAACAAAAACAGTAAATTACTTGAAGTATGTGCCGTTACTATGTTTGGTGTTCTATCAGCGTAAAGGTAGATCACAGATGCGTCTCCTTCAGAACGCGGCTGCCTGGCCCTCAAAGAAGTTCCTTTTTGATATCACCAGGTCTTTTGATATCTTTGTCATCCATATGGCGCTGAAGTATTGGAAACAAATGGTAATCGGAGGGATAGATATGGAGAGTAAGCTGGGTGGGGCACGTTGGTCCAATCGTACGTCGTCAATTCACTCCTCGTCGTTCTTGCATTGTGTGGTTTGGCATTGTCTGCTGGAAGTGAACATTGGTCTGCTGTCCACAAGAAGTTCCAAGATGGGCCTACGGCTTTCGTAGCCGAGTAATGTAAACGTTGGCCGTCACTGTTGTTCCCTGGTATAGTAGCTTTTAGTACTTCATGCCACGCCATATGCACAGCATCCCTTTTTTTCTGTGCAGGTTGGGTTTGGGCAAGTCTTCTGCCTCTCCTACTTTGCCAACCCACTGACAACGGCGGTACATGTTAGAGCACAGAATTATTTCTCACATTCAGTGACAATGCCACGCCACGCATGCGTGCTCTTGAGAGTGGGAGGAGTGAGCGTCATGTCTGCTCCTCGATCTGTTCGTGTTGCGTCAGTGCCTACCCTAATGGAGTGCCCTGCTATCCAGTTCCTTGCCGATAGACTTGAATCTATGAAGAACGGTTGTGTGTTAAAATACCAAACAAGATTATTGAAATTGAAATTAATGGACTATGTTGTAAAATCTAATAAATGAGAATTATTGAGGGGGGTCGAAAGCAAAGAGATAGCTCAGCTTCCGTTTCGCACGTGCCCTTAGACGGAAGCCGAGCAAAAGCATATTCCTCCTTCCGTGCTCTTCAGTAAGGAAAGGAAGAAAAATCATTGCAGCAAGTTTATAAGGAATAAAGTTGAAAACGATAAAGATTGAGAAGTTTAAGAATGCAAATTAATTGGATAACGTGAGTAAGACGAAAACACTACACGATACATGCAGTTAAAAGAACTTGAGTTGCATAGACACCAATTTAAACGAAAACGCCACTGAGAATACCTCTGACTAATCTGCTTACGCTCTCCTCAATAGTTCTCATTTTGGAACTGCAAATAAGACTGCCACCGGGCGAGTGCTTTTCTATGGCCCTGCTCTACACGGTTCCGTAGCAAGCCCAAAATCATTATCAGTGAGTACCCAAATGTCTTCGTCTTCAATGGAGAAGCCACCCTTTTTGAACTTGCTGAACCAACGGTAGATAGTCATAGAATCATGAAGGTTGAGGGAGAGGTGCAGGAAAAACATGGCATAGCGAAAGTGATATACAGGTGGTACGAATTGTAAAGGCATATCAGGAGGCATTTTTTATATTCTAGCAAGTACTCAGTGCAGTTTTGAAGCCGCTTTCCTCCTCTATCAATTTATTGCTGACCCAGTGAATGAGCAATTAGGCTAAAAACTCAACGTGGTAAATGTGGAATCACTTTTTTCGTACCTTGTACCTTTTTACCGCTTTTTCCTATCTTCTTTCCTACCTTTTTCCTACTAACATTGTTTTGTCATCTTCCTGTAGTATACTACTTAATTGCAGCACAACTGTTGACTGTGCTGTGTCAGGAGATAGATCAGAATTCCTTTTCAATTTCGATCAGTCATTCGAAGTTCATGACGATTTTGAGGTAAGGAGATTTTCTTTTATTTTATATATGGTAATAAGAATACTGCCCTGTTGTCACGTTTCTGTTGTTCGCTGACTAAGCAGATTTACGCGCCCATAGCGAAGGGCAGCGCACTTGCCAACAAATTGTTTCCAATATTACTTATAAGTATTCACGAGCATGGCGCAACCGGTTCTCGCCATTGTCTGTGGAGGCGGCTTCGCATATAGGAGCCATATATAATTCGCTTCCCATATATATAATTCGCTTCGTCTGTTTGTTGTTTGTTTGTAAGTTTGTTTGTCTGTCCGGAAATTCGGTTCGACCTGAAGAACGACTTGGAGAGGTCGGGTCAAGGTGGGGATGGGTAGAGCATGGGACAAGAAATAAAAAGCACACTTGACCTATGCGAAGCCCCGCCCACAGTGGGCGGGGCACTCGCTGAAAGTTTGGGGTTCCGCAGAAAAATGTTCATAATTCGCTTCCGGAGCAGCTGGGGAAAAAAGGGAATAAGGTTAGTAAGGAGTCGCCAGACTAACTGTGGCAGACACATCCAAAATGGGCGGGGCGTACTCAAGGTGGGCGGTGCTTCGCATAAAACTCAGTAACTCGGTTCGCGAGAGTGTTCAGAAGCCGCAAAAAGCTCAGTGCAGAATGTAAATATCTGGCGAGTATTGGGCACGCTCAAAATGTGTTGAGATCCGCCCACAGTGGGCGGAGCTTGCCCTAAACCGCAGGATACTCATTTTAAAAGTTTGTAGCTCGGTTCCAGAGCACTGCAAAGACCGGAAAAACGTGCGTCAAGGTCGGCAAAGGTTCGCCGGTGAGGACTGTGGGGCACAAACATTGTGGGCGGGGCCTGCTCCGGTTTGGGCAGACGAAAAATCTGTAAAATAGTTTCAGAGCACTCCAGACACGGGAAAAAAGTGGATTAAGGTCAGCAGAGGGTTGCCGATTGAGAAATGTGGGGTATACATGTTGTGGGCGGGGCCAGCCCGAGGTGGGCGGAGCCAGACAAAAATTCTCCAAAACTCCCAGAGCACTTCAAAGACCGGAAAAAACGTGGATTAAGGTCAGCAGAGGGTCGCCGGTGAGGACTGTGGGGCAAAAATTGTGGGCGGAGCCTGCTCCGAGGTGGGCGGAGCCAGACAAAAAGGTCTGTAAAACGGTTCCAGAGCACTCCGAAGACCGGAAAAAAGTGGATTAAGGTCAGCAGAGGGTCGCCAGTGAGGATTGTGGGGCACAAAAATTGGGGGCGGAGCCTGTTTCGAGGTAACCGGAGCCAGACGAAAATTCTGCAGAACTGTTCCAGGACACTTCAGACACCAGTGGAGTACAGAACAAAAGGCGGATATCAGTTGAGTCTAGAAATATGTGAGAGAAGGTACGCGCGGCGAAGCCGCGCCCGCCCGGCGCAGCCGGGCCGTATCAGAAGGAGCCGCGCCGGCGTCAGCCGGCGAGGCGACTGGTTACTTATAAGTATTCACGAGCATGGCACAACCGGTTCTCGCCATTGTTTGTGGAGGCGGCTCCGCATATAGGAGCCAACGAATCTGTAACCCTGCTTCTTCATGATACATTGTTAAGAAGACGTGATATTTATTGAAGGCCTTGAAACGCCTCGGATACTCATATGGTTTGGAACATAATACCTTGAATCCTGAAATGTTGGAGCACATCGATGAGTTCATCCCTCCTGCCCTTCGTGGATACATACAGAAGATACTGGAAGGTGAGTTCAGTCTTGCAGATGGTGGCTCATCATATCCGAAGCGCGGCGTAAAATGCGAAACAGCCTAATCTAGCTAGTTGTCTCGTTCCATCTGTTTGAATGGATCGTGGCAGCTCGTGTTCCACCCTTGTTTTCCTCCGCTGTGGTTGCACGCGATTGCGTTCGTTGAAAAGATTCGAGACTCTTAAATTTAGTTGTCACAGAAATGCCGAGTTATGAGGAAAAGTTCTGACCGCTGGCGGGACTCGAACTTGCACCTCACACTTTTATTCGTGTGGCTTATCCGCTACACCACCAGGACCGCATCTTACCTCCCAGCTCAAAGGCTTCTGTGGCATAGCTTTACAGCACCCACTCGTGTAAATAGACGAGTGCTTCAGGGCTGCATTCATACTTTGCGTCAGCGTGCGACAGCGTTTCGAGCGTACGACAGGGAAGCATGGACATCGTCTAGCGAATGTCGGAGTCAGCAGCGTTTCCTCGGGAGATTTTGCGCGCAGCCTAAAGCTGTGGTGTTACGAATAGCGTACTCGCCTTGGATGCGTGAGGTGCCTCGGTTTGGGTCTCACGTGTGTATAAAGACTTTTGCCCATAAATCAGCATTCCCGTGATAAATAAACGGAGGTTTTCCGAAGCTCGTCGACGTACGCATTCGTTTATACAGGGGAGGCCAATAAAAAAACTTTTCGACCGAGTTACATATCAGCAAAATTTCCGCAGCCCAGATAGAGGACGTGGAATACGAGTACCAGGGCGGAAGATACCCAAGATGTTCCTCTATAAGCAGGAGCTGGCGCTCGCCCATCACCTTCATGTACACCAAAATATGAAGTCATCTCCAGTCGCAGCCTGACTGAGAAGACCTTTGGAATTCATGTCACCTCCAAACAGCTGCGAAACTTCTAGTGTGGAGTCACCCATGGATAGCTACCTGGAGACCAGTACTCTCGATCTGGATGACCTCCAACATCGAGCAGCTCCGACAACGTCGCTACGGTCTAGGACATCATCGCAGTCGCCAAGGCGCGGGTTGATGGTATGGACCGGACGTACCTGGAATGGAAAGACCGATATTTTCTTCGTGGACCCCGGACTGAAGGTGAGCGCTGGCGGTTACATCGAGCAACTCGAGAAGAATATCCTCCCCACATGTCGCCCGTACCTTCTTGGAAACTGCTACAGGCATTGGGTGCCACCACATGAATGAAGGGCGTTGGAAAAACTCTCGCCTACTTGGAATGGAAGGGCGTTGAGTTCCTGAAGAAGATGGAATATCAAAGCGGTCACCTGACCTAAACCCCATCAATTACCTGGTTCGGGCGGAGTTCAATAAGGTGGTCTACAGTAAGAAAAGTAAGAAAAATCAACGATCTCGCTGAACTCAGGCACCGAACCATGGTTGCGTGGCAGAATCTCTCGATGGCGGTGGTCCAGAAGGCTGTGGCGGAGCATCATGATAGTATTTAATATGCTCTTCAATATGGTAGTGAAAAGGTCCGATCAGAATTCAATCAAGTGTAACTTATAGCGCCTCGAAAGTCAAGGGAGAAAAGTGTCTTTTTTTATTGCCCCTCCCCCCCCCCCCCGTAGTCGCAGCTGTAGAAAAAATGAGGAAGGACTGCCATGAACTGATCCGGTTGACGAGTTGAGCCAGCTAGTTCCAACTGGCTGTTTTGCGCGATGACGCGTCTCGGATGTGATGAGCCACACTCAGCTGTGAGGCTCTTAAAGTTCCTTGATACAGTGTGTCAGTGAATTTTCTAATAATAAGGTGTTTAGGTGAAATGTCGGATTGGGAGTCCCGTGTGCGAACAAACGCACCAGTGCAATATCTTATTCGTGATGGACATCTTGACCCAAAGATGTTAGTCGTTCATTACTTTATTGTTTTTTTTTGTGTAAGAAAGTGTTACTCTTCAAATGACTATGCATCGGTTTTAGGCAAGCAGCTGCTTCTGGCGATCCATCCGTTTCGGACCACTCTAGCGAGGGCTCGTATGCCGACATGGGTCAGCAGCCTGTTTATACCATGCCAGAAGGCATAGCATATAGCGTCCCAGCTTACGAGTCAGAAATTGGGGATGAAGTGGACGTCATCGAAGCTCCAGCTGATTACCCTACTTATTCTTTGCCTGGAGGAAATACAAGTTATGCAACCGTGGATCAAGGTCCTCGGACAGTCACTATGCGACATGCCAACACAGTACCGCGAACGACTGTTGCTAGTATGCCTGAATATTCAGAACCTGGTCCTTCTACCTCCAAGGTTTGCGCTTTATTTTCTATCTTAGGCTGCATTCATACTTTGGCGTCCACCCGTTTCGAGCGAAGTGCCAGCGCCAGCGACTAGGAAAGTATGAATATCGATTCGCGTCCAGGGGAGAGTATGGGGAAGTAGGAGGGTAGCAGACAGCTGGATTAGGTGTCCCGATGCGGCGTGTACAACCGCACCGTGCAACTGCACTACACCGTACATCAAGATTGCATAATTCTGTGCTTTAGCAATTGCACGGTGCGGCTGCACACGCCGCAATTTCACGACGCCTAATTCAGCTGTCTACTACCCTCCTACTGGTGTCACACTCTCCCTTCCTGGACGCTGTTGGACGTGAGCTTCACCAGATCGATAGTATACTTCCCTAGTGCTTCGAGACGCTGGTGAAGGCTGATGGACGCTTCCGCAAAGTGTGAACGCAGCATTATGCCACCGTTGAGTTGTGCATTTTCAGGCCCCGCAATATGTGCAGCGCGTGCTTAGCACGAAACGGCCAGTATATGCTATACCGACTAAAGAGATTTTCCGAAAAGCACAAGTCGATGCCGATGGCAGTATTATTTACACACAAGTAAGCAGCTGACGATATTTTTTCATTCAGTTTATTCGCCTTATTTCTTCAACCGTTTCTACTTTGCAAATGTAGAGATTCCTGCGATTTAGGGAATCGGCGTTCGGGAGAATACGAAGAAAAGAAGATTCCGCGATTGAACGCATAATATTTGGGTAAAACGTAACGGGCATCGTTCTTGGCCACAGGGAAGGGGTCGTATTTGAATCGACAAAGTTCATTATAAGGTCGTGGGTTTCCTCCGTTTCAGCCCACTGTGCCATAGTGCGGGGCGACAAAACTATTATTTTTGATAGTTGATCAAAGGTGTCTGCCCTTGTTCGACCACCTCATTTTGGGAGAAATGGTAAGGGGTGAACAGGTTACAAAAAAAGGGAAGATGGGCAAGAGGATCGTAGATTGCCGCTCCGTCCGCGCGGCAACCAGCGCGACAAATCTGCGCTGCTTTTTCACCTAGAGCGTTGGATTTCATATAGGAAGCCAAGGATATGGAAGACATTTGTCTATTTTTATTCATACACTGCCTTTTTAGAACAATACCACCTAAAATCGTCGTCATAGCGGGCGCGACGTCGCACGCGACGCCCACTGGCGCGGCGAATTGCGATTCTCCTGCCACATACCTTGAAAAAAGAGCAGTACTGTATCAAAAAATGAGTTGGGGGAAGGTCGTATGTAGCAAGAATTTCACACGGCGCGATGTGCCTTATTCCTGTGAATAGGCCACAGCGACTACATGCCATACTACTGGTCAAGATTTTCTCGTATCGCGCATTCTTCGGAGTCGCGGATTTTTCGCATACACCAGTGGGCCGAGGCCCCTATTCCCTTCGTCGCCGATTCCCCAACTTGCTTGATTCTCCTGGTCGAAGTGTACTTTCCTCTTCAATCATTCCTCGCTGAGGCTTGTCAAGGTGAGGAACTGAGTTTGGCGCGTTGCCAGCCACTTTTCATCCTTTTATGGTCGCCCCTCAGTTTACAATTGATGGAGAGTGGTACTTCGCCTAACCCTGCCTCCCACCCCTCCTTGACACCTCCCGAATGCGTTCGCAGAGTAGGAGACTGCGTGCAAAACTTATTATGCTACTTTTCAGAACATTCAACCGAAGCGAACGAAGACTGATAACTACAGTGTCTAAACCGCTGGCGCTCAAATTCTACAATTTCTATATCCTCGCAGAGAATATTCCTGTTCTGGTCGTGTTTTTACCTGATTCCTTTCTTTATTCGACTATCATGTTTGTTGTGTTGTATACTTTGTTGCATTCCGCATCATTTATAGCACTTTTTCAATCATTGCATATTTACATTTTGTTTTTCGCTTAATTGACAACGCCAGACCCCGTTCAGACTTTGCGATCTGCGATCCGATCGCTCGAATGGATAGCGCTACCAAACGGTCGCCACGGCACTGTTCAAATTGGCGCCATGTGAACACTGCCCAGTTTGAATTCTGCTGTTGCGGCTGCGTGCCCTTAGGCGGTGTGCGCTCCCGGTCGTGATCGCGCGGATCCAATCTAGCGATCCGATCGCGAAGCCTGAAACGGTCTTACTTTTGGGGAACAGTTTTGCTGCTTCTCATCTGAATCCGTTCTTTCTTGCACCGAGACGGGACCCCGCGAACGCTGATCGTCTACGCGTTTGAGCGTAGGGAGGGGAATGAATCACTAGTTCGGTGAGAGGGCGCAGATGAGCGGAGTCAGAGTTTTTTTTCTCACCCTTCCACTAGTAGTGCCACTCGTTTCCTCACCGGCTTGTCAAGCTTATTAGCTCATTGTACCCTCTGAAGCCTTTGGTATCAAAACCCCCTTGAAGATTTGTTTTGGCGCTATTGAACTATTCCTACCCCAAAAACTCAAAAGAGTTTTTTCGCTGAAACGTGGCCTACAGATGTAATTCGATGCGCTGATCACGAATATCACATCCGTTTCGAGCGCTGGCGTCATTTGGCGCCATTATGCGCCAATTTGGCGCCCACCACTTTTTTCACCAAAGTTGATGAAAACTTGCATATGGGGGTTTAATGACATCCTGATCACGAATATCACACTGGTTTCAAGCGCTGGCGCCATTTGGCGCCATTATGCGCCAAATTGGCGCGTAATGGCGCCAAATGGCGCCAACGCCAAAGATGAATGTCGGATTCGTAATCAGGACCTCAAGTAACCCCCATATGCAAGTTTTCATCGACTTTGGTGAAAAAAGTGGTGGGCGCCAAATTGGCGCATAATGGCGCCATGACGCCAGCGCTTGAAACGAATGTGATATTCGTGATCAGGACATCGAATTACACCTATAGGCAACGTTTCAGCGAAAATTTTTTTTAGTTTTTGGGGTAGGAATAGTTCAATAGTACCTTTATTTTCACTGGATTATTTTAACAGCACTCGAAGTATTGGTATATCAAATTGAGCTATCTGTTCATCTTGGTTTTGTTCTGCATTTTGTCAACATCCATGCTATAACTATCGTAGGCTTACCTCGGTTATAGATTCTTTAAATATCATGAAGATTTTGAAAGATATTGCGCCTCTGTGTGTTAAGAGTTCCCAAACGAGATACTCAGAATATATTCGAGATGGTAGGTGTATGTAACAGAGAGGTTCCTTTTTACGGAAGGAGTGCTTTTGTAGCTGTTTGGTAAGGTACGGGGTAAAGACGGTGGAACGCTCATCCCTTCTTCAGATGCAGTGGTTCAACGTAGTCGCTGATTATCATAACTGCAAGACTGAATCGCGAAGTAAACCCAGCCTAAATTAGTGTAAAAAAAACGTCGTCGAACTGATACCAACCTGGTAACAGAAGGTAGATGAGATAGGGAAGTGTCGTCGAAATAATAGAAAATAGGGAATGGAAAGCGCAAATAAACTTTGTAGTGCCCAAAACATCAAAGTTCCTGGTTCAAGGGGATCTTTTATTGGTTTAGACAGGCTAGTTCTCAGCACCTGCCATAAT